CGTCCCTGTCCTTTTCATAAAAACATCCAGTCCTCCCGCAGACTGCACATTTCTCAGGAATTCCTGTTAATCATCGTTTACGGGGTTTTTTCCTTTTTAAACCCCTGTGGCACCTAGGAATAGTTCATTTAGGCCTTCCTAAAAAAAGAATTGTAATCGAACGTTATTTTCCAATCTATAAATTAGGAAGTGCCATAAATCTCCTGCTTTTGCAGCCCCGCTTTTCACGCCCCGAATCTGGACCCAGTTTTAATACCGCCGAGTTCGGGAAACAAATCTGTATTCCTTCTTTATATACCCGTTGTATTAAAGTTTTAGCTTTTCACACTGGTAGGATTTCGGGGGTGGAGGTTGTGTTTTACTTTTGCTGTTTCGGTCCCACATTTTTCTTCCTTCAGCAACTTGCCTAACCACCACTTATTCTGAGTTCCCAGGCGCCCCTCCGGTCTGCACCTTCACTTCCCCTCTTTTGTTCCTGCTTAAAGCCACCATCAGTTTCTATCCTGTCCCCAACTCTAACCCAGAAATATTTTGTCCACCCACCTGAACCTAATCTTAGTAGTTTTGATTTGTTTTTGTCATCACAACGAAACAATAAAGACGGAGAAGTTTCAGTGCTTCTAGGCTCTCAAAACACTTATCTTTGTTCTTTATTTCATAGCTCTTGCCTCCCAGCTGGGGATGGTAACTGGAAGTAACTGGCAACAGACTAGAGCTCTGCTCTCAGTTTTTTCCATTACAAAATTTTTTAAAAACCAAAGTTGTGCACATAGGTAGTTGAGAAAACAGCATCATGACCTACGTGAAGTTTTCTCAAAAGGCTTTAATGATAACAGATAAAACTGATAAAATCTGACTCCATCAAAATTTAAATCTGCTCAACAAAAAACAGCATTAAGACAGTGTAAAGAAGCTACAAACTGGAAAATATTTGCAATATATATTTTTGACAACTGGAATTCAGAAAATATAAAGAACTCTCACAACTCTGTCATAAGAAGACAAACCAGCATTAATAGGCAAAGATTTTATTACACCTTCACAAAAGAATATACACGAATGGCCAATAAGTACATGAAAAAGTATTCACCATTATTCATTATTCGTTAGAAAAATATAACATTAAAAACAGTGAGTTAACACTACATATCCATTAGAATGGCTAAAATTAAAATGACTGACAGTATCAAGTACAGATGAGGATATGAAGCAACTGGAACTCAGACAATGCTAGTGGGAGTGTAACATGCTATGTAAAATTGGCAGTTTGTAATGAAGTTAAATGATGCCTACATTATGACCCAGCAATCTCACTCCTAGGTAGTTATCTAAGAGACATGAAAACATAAGTCCACAGCAGCTTCATTCACAACAGGCCCAAACTAGAAAAACCCAAATGTTCATCAACAGGAGACTAGAGAATCAAATAGTGTTATGTTCATGCAGCAGAATACTACTCAGAAATTAAAAGGAGCTACTGATAGATGAGCAATGTGCATAAATCTCAAAAGTCCTATGTAACCTTATATGAACATATATTCAAGAACAAGTGAAATTCATCCGTGGTGACAGAAGACAGAAGTGTTTCCCTCTGACTGGGGTTGTGGTTGCATGGTTGCATACATACGTAAGAATCCAGTAAGCTGCACACCTGATTTGCACATTTTACTAATAAAAATAAAAATTTAAAAAGCAAATAAAATTCAACAGGACTCTCAGTATTATGCCGTGAAAAACACCAGGCCTCCATCCTCCCTCCTCTACCGGTATCTATTCCCCAGAGACGACCACTTTAACTATTTTACTTTTATTAACCTCCATATTTATAAGTAGCATGCTAACACTGCCATTTCTAGATTTTTCCTGTATAGATAATATATACTGACTGACTTCCTATTATGGAAAATAAGCATTGAACCCTTCTAAACCAGTGATAGTAGCCACATCAGGGATTAGATGACAGGTTTTAAACTTCCCAGCGTTGCTAGGTCTGACAATAGCTGCCCCATCAAAGCACAAAAAAAGTTAGGCTCCGGTTACTTGTCTTTTCCTTATTTGTATAAGCAGAGAACAATTTCTATGTAGATTCCAAATATTTTCCATACCTGGGGCCTCAAAGGTGTTCCCCAGATTCACTCCCCTCAGTTGCTCTGCATTCGTTTCACCAAGATCCCTTCATATATGGTACGTGGACTAGCACAGTAATTCTCGAATATTCTGTGACTCCTTTTATGCTCTTAAAAACTAGTGAAGACCCTGGAGAACTTACGTGGGTCATTATTTGTCTAAATTTGATGTGTTCAAAATTAAAACTGAGGAATTAAAAATATTTATTCTTAACAATAACATATCCATTACACGTTAAGTAACATATTTTGTGAAATTTAACTATATTTTTCAAAGAAAAAAAACAGTGAGAAGAGTGGAATTCAGTTTTGTGAATCTCTTTAACATCTGTCCTAATATAAGGTGATGGGTTCTCATGTCTACTTCACTTAGTACCACACTGTTGCTTACACTGTTCCCTCCTCTGTAAGTGTACTTCCTTCTACTTTCCACTAAACTCTGTCCATCCATCAAGGTTTGGCTCAAAATTTTACTTTAATTAGAGAGCCTCCTCTAAGAATCTGGAAGTGGAGTGTGTAAAAACAAGAAAATGGGAGATAAGGTGGTTTAGAAAAAAGTGACTTGTTTCAAGTTCAAGTTAGAAGTGATACATATATCTAATTCCTCTCCCTACCAAAATGACTGAAAAAGTGTAAAAAAAAAAAATTATTATTGTGCTAGAACATAAAGAATTGGTCAGAAATTTTGAGGAATTTCTGGAAAAGAATAAGCAATTGGGATGTTTGTTGGAGAAGCAGAGGAAACTGCCATGAGAGAGCCTAGGGCCAGGTGTGTATCTCCAGGGGGGCCCTGGAGTAGTTCTAACCTCAGGACCCACAGCTGCAAAGGACAGGAGGGGCCATTCATTTAAGAACTGCATTTGGGACGGTTGGATTTCTCCCCTTTCTAACTGGTAGCTGGGCCTTCTGTCCTCTAGTTATGGCTTGATTACCTGCTTCCTAAAACAAGTCAATGGGCTCTTACTAAGAAAACTGAGGCCTAAGAAAGAAGCACAGTAGAATTTGAGATGACTCTGGACCTCCACAACAGAACAAGGGTGGGGCAGGGGGTAAAGACAGCACTGCCTAGGAGTGAAGTACACTGAAGCTCTCCACCTCAGAGAAGGCAGTTCTCATTTGTTCATTGTGCAAGTCCCCAGCCTGTCTGTTGGCTCTGGGTTCACTCACTCCGATGCCTGCCTGCAGCCTGCTTACCTGAAACCGGCACTGAGAACTCCCAGTGGGGTATGGCCACCTGCAGCGGAAACAGCTTCTACACATGACTGTTTCTCAGCAAGACTAAAAGGGGGAAAAGCTATCACTCAGTAAGCACCTAACTTTATTTTTTAAATAAGGATGTTTCTAATACTAAAGACTTAACATCTTTTCTCTTCATGCCCATTAAAAAACCCTTTATTTCAAATGCTTTGAAATATTCCTCAGATAAGTCATAAAAACAAGTATGAGTGTGAACTTGGTATTTTAAAAATTTGTATCAGTTTATGTAATCATTCAAAGTAAACTTACATTTTCTTTTAAAGGAGACATATTCAAAAGGCATAAAAACTCAGCTTATCTTCATGGTGTTACGAGGAACGATTTAAGGTCTATGTTCCAATAGTAGTGAAGCCGGAATGACTCTGGTGGTTTTCCCACTTCCAAACACAAGGTGAAAACGAGTGTGTGAAATCGTCTCCACGAGATCTGATCCTTTCCTGCTCGTGGCTGTTCCCAGAGCCAGGAGCTCAGGGCAGTTTGGTAGCGTTATAAACGTGAATGTGCTGGGCCTGTGGCCACAATTCCTGTCAGGTTATAAAATTCTCAAGCTGGGGATATAAAACTGATCAAGTACATGAAATGCTAATATATTTTGAAGCCAAAAGGAAAAACATTGGAGTGTTCATTATCTTAAAGTATGGGCGCCCTTGCTTCTCCTTAGTGTGGGTTTCTGATGGGGATGCTATCTTGTAAAGGTAATTACACTCTTTTTATGGAGATGAGGTAGTAATTTAAGCTTTCAATTTGAATTATTAGGTTATTGTAGTTACTTTACTAATCATCTTTCTCCGATTATAACACACTTTTTTTTTAAAGCCGAAAAAGCGCCATTATTGCTAAATCATTTTCTTTCAGGGTGTTTGTACTTTGTCTCCTGTTGCTACGGAAGCCTCTTCAGGTGTCCCCTTTGCTACCTTTCTGAACAGAGTCACACGATATCAGAGCCAGAAGGCTCCTTACTTGATTGACTGGGACAGCAATGCTCTTCAGGACTCTGCAGTGATAAAAATGGTCTCTGTGCCGCACAGCACAGCGGCTACCAGCTACACACCACCGAGCACTCCAAAGGCCCCATTTAATTTGTCGTTTGCATTTCCACAGCCATGTGCGGGTGCTGGTGACCATACTGGACAGTGCAGTTCCAGACCAGTCTCCCCGTCTCTTTCCTGAGACTCCGAAGAGAAGAATTTAGTTCCAGGTCAGGGTCCCGCACCCCCATCACCGCCCCCAGCGGCTCCAGCTCAGGGTCCATCACCATCGCCTTTCCCAGCAGCTCCTACTGAATGTTCACCGCTTTCCTTCCCACTTTAATGTTTTCTTTAGCCTCCTGTCTTTTCTGATGGCTTCCTTTTTAATCATCAGCAAACAAAAAAAAAACTACGCAAAATGATTATACCCCCTACTTTAAAAAACGGATAAGTATTTAGGCCGCTATATCAATAATGATGAAAAACAAATGGTAGTTTTAGTACCTAATTTTAAAGAGTTTTCATCTATTTTAACACAGCATATGTGGTGCGCCTCTATTATGTATATATATAATGCAACTAACTAAACCACAGACCTAATCACTAAGAGCTGTCTTGAGAATAACTAAGGAAAGATTAAATTCAATGCCCTGCACTTAGTGAAACCCCAGCAAAGGGCTGCAGTTGCCCTGTGAGCTGGCCACACAGGGACTCCTCCTCGGTTTCTGCGCACAGAACTCAGGACCACGCAAAGGGGACCTCCAGCACCTCCTCTGTGCCCAGCCTCTGTACCCACCCGGCGTCTTTCAAACACACCTTCACTTCCCCAGACTGAAGATTAATTTAGGACATGGTAGAATGGGCTTGGAGAACGGTCGTTTCAGAAGTTATTCAAGATAAAGACACGAGGCCACTCCTAAATGTTGCCTTCCACTACTTTAGATCTTCGAAACAACAGAACAGTCTACTGAGTTAACCAGCCAGACTGCAAACACCTTTCCGATTTCTCTGGACAAACCGAATTGACACGTGATGGATGAGCGACCATGATGAGCCTAGGAAGGTTTGGCTGTCATTGTCCTTTAAGCTACAGCAACCTGACAGACCACAAAAGCTCCCGGGAGTCAGCGGCGGTGATGGAGAAGAGGGTGGTCCTCAGGGACCTATCTGGGACAGCACCTGCCACCCAGGAATCTGGGTCTTTGGAACATTCTGCAGTGCCAGCTAGGAGCTAGGCTGGGAGGGGGAAGGGCAGCAGAGCCCAGCACAGAAATTGGCCCAAAGGAAGTGTACCCCCAAACCCAACCCAGAGAACTACTCAAAGAACCCGGCCTGGAGGAAATACTCACATGAAGCTTTTCTGGAGGAAGTGCTCAGGTGAATCCCACCCAGGGGAAGTGATCACGTGAACTCCTCCCGGCAGAAGTAAACTCGCCCCAGGAAACTGCCAAAAAATCCACAGCATACGTGGCAGTAAAAACCTGGTTACAGTACTGTGTCCGCCTCCTCCAAAACTTACGGTCAGGTCCACCTGAACACCATTCCCAACCTCTAATCCCAACTCCAGCTTGATTTCCTTCTACGTCCCTCCTGTCTTATTTGACTCTGCATTCTGACCTCTTGCCTTGGACACTCACGGTTTCTACTTCCTGGCATGACCCTGGACTCAGATATTGGCCTACATATTGGAATGCCGCCACTGCCCACGTCCTCTTGATTACATTTAGCTCGCTTGTGCCCACGTTTTAAAGCAGCGTTCGGAAGCACCCTTCTGTGCGGCTGCTCCAGCTACTGCACTCCTGGCTCGGCCGAACTCTTGTTGTGCAGAATTATTAACGACGGTTGAGGACCATTCTCTTTCACTGAACCACCGCCCCCCACCCCCACTGTTCTCATGGTTATCTCCCAAAAGGGTCTTTATCCCTCTTGCTTCACTGCCACAGACTAACCTATTTCTTAGCCTCCCCCAGATTCTGCTCTTCTGGTTTGACTTGGAAGTCAATGGAAGAGCCGCATCCTGTCTCACAGAAAGCACACTCAGAGGCGATCACCATATGCAGAACAGCAAGCCAGAGAACCAGAGAGAGAGAAGAGACAGTGCTTGTTCAGCCATTCGATATTTATTTTTTATTCAAAGTTTTTCATGTTTTGCTATTTCCTTAGCATTTCATATAAATATCAGTCCTTTACATTAATAGGTTTTCCCTCTTGTGAATTTTCTGATGTTGCCGAAGGTGTGAGCTCTGACTGAAGGCCCTCCCACACTCATTGCATTCATAGGGTTTCTCTCCAGTGTGGATTCTCAGGTGTCGGATAAGGTATGAACTTGCTCTGAAGGTTTTCCCACATTCTCTACATTCATAGGGTTTCTCTCTGGTGTGAATTCTGTGATGCAGGATAAGATGTGACTTCACACTGAATGCTCGCCCACATTCTGGGCATTCAAAGGGTTTTTCGCCAGTGTGAATCCTCTGGTGTCTAGTAAGATCTGAGTTCCCCGCAAAGCCTTTCCCACACTCATTACATTCATAGGGTCTCTCTCCAGTGTGGATTCTCTGGTGTCTAATAAGCTTTGAGCTGTGTCTGAAAGCTTTCCCGCATTCGTTGCAATAATGGGTTTCTCCTCCACTGAAAATTGCTGCATGTTTAATAAGGGTTGGACTCTTGAGAGATTTTCCATATTGGTGAATTTTTTCTCCAGTATAAATTCTTTGATGCTTAATAAAACCTGAATTCCATTTCAGACTCTGGTCAAAGTTACCACGTTTACAAGATTTCAAGTGTGTAAATTCATTTGAGTTCAGGTTTAAGCTTCTCTCAAATCCATCATGACTTATTTCACTTGTAAGCGTATTTTTGTGGGTGAGGATTTTGCTAAATCCTCCATCCTGAGCGGATGATGGTCTCTGAGACTCCCCAGGTTCGTTTTCCTGTTGCCTCTTTATCCTGCCCGCAGGCTTAGAGAAGTCCTGAGGCTCAGCAGACACTTCTGATGCAATTCCTGAAATCCTTCCTGATACAATTCTCTGTGATTCCTTTTTTTCATGAATGTCCAGATTTGGCATTGACCCATTGTTTTCACATCTATGATCTAAAATAATGATAATGATAATGATAATGATAATAATAATGAGGTAAATATCTGTTTGCTGAGATGGAAGAAAAGAAAACGTTGACATACACTCAAGATAGCTACTATTTGGTACTCATTTGGCCACTCTAAAACTGTGGCCTTTCAAATGAGAGGCCTGAAGGACATAAAAGAAAGAATTGGTAAAAGCAACTAATGTATGCAGTGGTTGGCAGGGAGAGGAAATAGACACCTGAAGATGGCATTTAAATAGAAAAGACTGGGAAGAGGATCATCACCGGCAAGAATAGGGGGAAGACAAAGTAAGGAGAAAGAACTATGCAGTGTGACTGATGGGTCTTGGGGAACTTTGGATCTGACACATTTCTCGGGTTAGGCTCATAGGGAGAAAGGGGAGCATCGCCACAAAGAAAGCAGATGAAGGCACAGATGCAGGGAGAAATGCAACATTATAAATGACTTTGGGGTATGTGTACGGGGAAGGGAAAACCTCCACCCGCCTATCCATCCATCCATTTCTTCTTCATCTTCCATGGCTAATCAAGTCACCACGTTCTCCTGAATGTCCCTTTCTCTACATTTGTTACCATCCCCTTAGTCAAGAATCTCACCACTTCCTATTTGGTAACTGTAACAGCTTCCTTGCTGGTCTCACTCAGAACTATTCTTTTTCGTGGTCATCCTAAATACCTTTACCCGACTAACTCGTGAAACCCTGTCAGCCCTACCACAAAACCTCTCATCTCTTCGCTTCCACGACACATCTGAACTCCTCGGCCTGCTTTCCAGGAACCATTTATGGCCTGATTGTCACAATCCCTACCTTCTAGCTCGAGAAGCAGTGCTGTGCTCAGGACTCTGTACTGTGCTGGAGTCAAGCCCTCTTTCTTGCAGGGTTTCCTTACTCTAGAACATGCTAGGGCAGGAAATAGGGTTCGGCAGTGCTGGTCTCAGGGTGGAAAGGTCTTAGGGAAAAAGTAATTTTCAGATGGCATGGATGGAAATGTTTCCAGAACAAACTTGACAGCAGAATCTGGGTATTCAAAAAAATTACTGTAATTTTTCCTTGGGTTTATGTGGGGGGCTTTTCATAGCTAAAGTGATACTGAGTCCATGAACTTTTAAACAGATGGGTTTTAGAACAGCAATGAGTATTCAACAGAGGAAATCTCCAGAAGTATGGCCAACTTTCTACAAAAACTTGAGAGATTTTTAAGATCAAAAGTATAAAAAAGGCAACAATATGTATCTTGTTCTATGGATCTGTGAATTATGTTCTGGGCATATCATCATGCACCTGCCTCTTTACCATTATATATATTTCTCTATTATGTTTTGTTTCCATCCACACGTTTTTCGTCTTTGGCTACTTTTCTCATTCCTTGATGTTTTCTCAAGTCATTTGTTTTCCTTTCCTTTAATTTTCCCCTAAGATAAAAATATCCTGTGTTTGGAAATGTTCTGGATAAAGAAACAATGGAAAAATAGAAATATTCTGAATAAAAAAGCTCTCTCTCTCTCTGTCTCTCGATTGGACAATGACCCTAGGAAAAGTTCCCTGCTTCTCACTGCTTAACAAAGGAAAGGAGCACCGACAGCAATGAGGACTACTCAGAGAAGGGACATGACCCTCCACACCCTTTCGTGGTGAGGCCTGCATCGAACACTGTCTCTTACCAGAGTCCAGTAGGAGAGGGGGTTCTGGAGAACCACGAAGGTCTTTGGTGTCCACTGGCTGGAACCGGACACTAAGTGCTGGCTCAGGAGATGCCACCCTTCTCCAGAATATTTCTTGTCCATGACCAGGGACTGGAACCTGAGAAAAATACAGTACATTTGGGCTTATGACAGACTGCCTGGAATTAAACATCGTCCAAAAACAAAGAGCACCTCCTGTAGGGATACAGAACTGGGGAAGGAAGAATGAAGTCCGACTCCACTGTAAGATGTGGCGTAGGAGAAACAGCGAGCACAGGAGACCCGCCGCACACTGAAGTGAGCGCTCCTCCACGGCTCGCTAGGTCTCACTAGTCACTAGTCGGTCCGTCCCAGGCCCTGCCTTCCCACGTGGGGCTCCGGCCTGGCGGAGGTCTTGGCTCCGCCATCCCCTGTGTACCTGGGGCGTGGCTTCCTCAGCACCTCTCCCCACATCTTCCAGTATGGTCACTGCCTCCTCTCCGCTCTCCGGACACCGTCCCCGCACCCGGGCCCGCAGCTCCGCGGGCAGGACGGCCAGGAACTGCTCCAGCACCAGCAGCTCCACGATCTGCTCCTTGCTGTGCGTCTCGGGCCGCAGCCACAGCCGGCAGAGCTGCCGGAGCCGGCGCAGCGCGTCGCGGGGCCCCGGGGAATCCCGGTAGCAGAACTGTCTGAACAGCTGCCGGCAAAGCTCCCGCCTGACAGAACCACTTCTCTGTGAGCACGTGTCCTGCCTCCACACACGATCTTCCTCCTCCGTCTTCACCGTCAGAAGCCCTGCGTCCTCCGGAAGGTGCTGAGCTGCAGCTTTCTCTGACTCTGCCGTCATCTTGGGATAGAATGTATTCCCGGAAAACCCACTTCTGCTCTGTGAAGGGTCTCAGTTCCCAGAGCTCTCCTGAGAGGTAAAAAAATTACTATGACTATCGAGGAAGATGAAACATCACATCATACAAACGGTCACGTTCCAGGACACAAACGCACTGGGCATTTACTGTGTGTCAAAGCACGGAAATAACTGCTTTGTGAACACGACTGTTACATAATCTCCACCTCTAAGCGGCTTAAAACTTAAAAACGAGATCATTTAAATTAGAAACACTAAATATAAGATAACTATAAGGCAGCACTAAATCTTAACATGCTACACGACTATCTGTAAGTCATGAAGACAATAAGGACCAAAGAAAAGGTGATGAAAGTGCTTCACAGAGTTGGAGATGAGAAAAAGCACAGCACGTTGCGACGGTCAGAGACAGCCTAATGAAAAAGCTAACTCTGAAGAACGGAGAGGCTTTGACCAGGATGCGGGAGAGAGAGAACAGGAAACTACAAGGGCGGAACAGCGTGAACCGGTTAACAGTAAGAACATGGAAGCGGGAAAGCAAAGCCACAGTCGGTTTGAGTAAGGAAATTACAGCGGCCAAGGCCCTGCGCTAGAAAGTCTCCCATGTCAAAGTTCATGGTTCAGAGGTCGTCTTTTAGGCACTGGGAAGCCTATGAAAGCTCGTGAGCAGAATGACCTGACAAATACTGTTTGTGCAGATTAACACATCGCCCATTTCCTGGATGGACTGTAATACGAAAAGAGAGAAACAGAAAGAGGCTGTGTACGCATACGACGAGGAAAGCACAGGCTCGAATTACTGTAATTACTGATTCAGAACTTGGAACTAGGATTACTTATAAATCTCATAAATAATGAAATAGGGCAAATTTCTTGAGAGGCAGAGGTTAAGAACTTGTCAGTGCAACTGCTCCCTCCCCCAAAGTCTCAGATAGCTTTCCTTTCTCTCAACAGTGCCTTCCCTGCCTTCCTAGTGTCGTGGCTCAGGCCAGGTCTCGCAGTGAGGCCACCTCACGATAAAATCAAACACAACAACCCAGCAGCGCAACTTTCTCACCCGTCTTCTTGAGCCTTGTTATTGAATATCAGTTCCCCAAGCCCTATCAGCATGTGGGAATGGTGGGCCTGGTTTCTGAACTGAAGGGCTGAATAACAGGAGTTCAGAGGTGAAGCCTGGAGCACAACAGCAAAATGCAAATATCGGTCTTTCAGGTCTGTCGACCACACATTTCCTCAAGTCCACGACTGACCGCTGCAATCTTAACACGAGCAAGCAGTGGGCTTGATGGTGTTCGGCAGTGGATTCTAAAAAAGTCTGAGTTCAGAGCTGGGTTCATTGCCTGATCTTCATGTGGGGACTTAGTCAGAAACAGTTTCCCGGGCCTTGCTCTAGAGGTGCTGGTTAGTTAGGATGGGATACTAATAAGTTAGTGTGGGGTACGCCGGAAATTTGTGCTCTGATGTACAGCTAGAAGGAATTAGAAAATAAAAGTGTTTGAGTTTGCAAGGAATTTGCAAAATACTTGAGAAAAATGACACAATACACACATGGATATAAAACGTTTAAAAAACAAGACATGTTCCACAGAACAGATGCATTGAAAATGTTTGATAAATGTTCAAAGCTGAATAAACAAGTTGCACGGTGGACACTCTGAAGAATCTAACGATCCCGAGGTAGGGAGAGAATGCGTGTGTATGTGTACAAATGGGAGTAAACATTTCCTGGACGTGGTGGGGCTTGAACTGGACAATAAAGGATGACGGGTTCAGAAAGGCAAAAAGGGACAGGAAGAGATGAGCACGTGGGAATGAACAGCAGGTTGATGGTGAGACCAGCTTGCTAGGAGTGGTAGCTGCAGGGACTAGAATTCCAGTACCTCTGACACGAGTTCCACAACTCTACTCTGACTTACTGCAGTTCCTAATACATAACATCTGTGAATACCACACATGCCACCTCGTATTATTTTTAGTTGTTGGCTGTTTTTCTTCATCAATTGACTAGAGCTCCCCGAGGTAAAGGACCTTGTATTATTAATATTCATTTTTAAGTTCTCGTGTTTGTTGTTTTATTGCATAAAAGTGGAAATAAGGCAAGTTTGAGTTGCTTTGTGTTTTGGATATTCTATATTTAAGATGCTAAGGAGACACCATTTGGAAAAACATGTCCAACAGATATTGTGAGATTTTAATGAGAAAGAGCTAGGAATGGCAATATAGATTTAGACAAGACCCATGGAAAGGGCAATTGAAGGTAAATATCAGGAATTATTCTTCAAGAGTATGCAATGTGGATCGCAGGCTCAGACTGAACCTTGGAAACAGAGCTCGAGTGGGAATAAGTAGGAACAAAGTTTAGCAGTGACAGAGGGCAAAAAAGGGGGTTAGTGCTATGGCACATCAGTCAGTCTCAATCCTTCATGTTACTGGGACATTCGTTTGATACAAAGGCCTAACTGCACTTCCTGTTCTGTTTCCTAAATGTGCTGAGCGCTTACCGGGTAGCGTCCTAACGCTTTACGGGCATTACCTCATTCAGCATAGGAAGATGGGCAGTAAAGTCAGCCTAGAGATTCCACAAGTCACTTACACGTTAATGATCACGTGAATTAGCTGGTTCTATAGCATGTCATCTCCTTAGACACCTTAAAGTCCTATGTCCAGGTGTTTTATCACCTCTTACCCGTTTAAAACAGTCCACAACTCTAGAGGGAATTATCTAGTCTTCAAGGATTAGATACAGCACCCTAAAGCTGGTTTTTAAAGGTCTTCCTAACTTCAAGGTAATACACATTCATTCAGCATCTAGAGCCTTACAATCACTGTGTTGGGGGACGAGTCAAAAAAACAGCCAGGCGGGTATGTAAACAAACATAGAAAGGAGTAATTAATGGTGCCGGTACGGCGGAGCTTCGGTCAACTGCGGGGCTCCCGGTGGACGAGTAGCTCCCCGGCGCGTCCGCTGCGGCAGAAGGGCCGGGAGGGCTCGGCCGGTGGAGGGCGGGGAGGCGCCTGTCGTCCCTCGATCCGGAACGAGGGCGGGGGCTCAGCGCCGGCCTCACTGCACACCCCGCACACAGCAAATACTCACTAAGCAGTTACTGTGGGAACCAATTTCACCGGGAGGCCCGGGGCCCCTTTTCCCACGGAAAAGCGGACGCTCCTCCGGGGAGAAGCAGGCGTCCGGGACGGACTTCCGGCGGCTTCCTCCGGCAGAGACCGGAGCCGAAGCAGACGCCGCCCTTAGCGGTCTCGCCCGGTTGGGCCGGGACGCTCCTCTCCCCAGAGCCCCTCTCCGAAGCTCGGCGGCCGGAAGGCCCGCGGCCCGCACCACGCCCCGTCGGCCCAGACGGTGACGTAACGCGCGGCGGGGTAACTATAGAAACCACCCCTCCCCACGTGGCCGGGCGCAAGTGCCGTCCCGACGCCGAGCCCAGTTCCTCGTTTCCTCCGGATCCTTCTGAGGTCCCGGGTCAGGGCGCCGCAAGATTGCTGCAGTCTCGAGGGGGACATAGTAGGGGTTGGGTGTTTAGAGGGCACGAAGCGGCGGGTACCTCAGTCCCCAAGCCCGGACTCACCTCTCCCACGGGCCCGGTTCTGATCGGACACTTCCGGTGGGAGGACGCAGCCGCGTCGCCGCTCCCGGTGTCGGCCCGGAGACCGCTGAGTCTGCGCAGAAGGAGACGGGCCCCGCTCTGCCTGCGCTTCCCAGAAGCCTCCGGGCCTCCCGGCGCTCGGACTCGGTTTCCCAGGAGCCTTCGCGCGGTGCGGACGCCCTCCGAGCGCGGAGGAGGCGGGGTCTCGGCTGCCGTTGGCGGTACGCGACGGCGGCGTCCCGGCTCCAGCGCGGGGCTCGGAAGTGACGCCTCCACCGCGCGGCCTCTGCGCCCGCCTCGCCGTGCAAAGCCGTCCCCTACCCGGAGCCGTCCCGGACCCGGACTCGTCCCGCAGCCCGGCGACACGCGGACACGCAGCACGGGATGAGCCGTGACCCCGCCTCTAAAACGCGAACGTTTTCGGATGTCCCAGGCCATAAGCAGCACGACATGAACAGTGTTATATTTACTATTTCTCTCGTCCGTCGCCAAACCTGTTACAAATTTTGTTTTTCGTTCTCTTACCTTTAAAAAGATAGTCTTTTAGATACACATGCATGGTCAAACAGTCCCAGGTTCAGTGTTACTTGTTTTTGATCCAAAAAGCATCACGTCGTAGGTAATATTATAGTTCCTTCTTTTCACTCAATATATTACTAAGATTTATCCAACTGTTGAGTTAATATTAATTTTCATTATCGTCTGATCTACTTGTGATTATCGCGGGGCATTCGTCCATTTTCCCAGAGATGAGCTGATGACGCTATCACCTCGCTTCTGGATTGGTGCTGTAACGTGGTCCCTGTGCTACCTACCAGTGTCCCCCCAGTCTGTTCTCAGTAGAGCGGCCAGAGTGACACTTTTGACACCTAAGTCCTATCATGCTACTGCAGGGTAGGAGCATATGCCTCCCCAGAACATGCTGCTTCAATTCATTGGTTATATCTCGAGCTGTAGGCACTTGAAAAACAGCAGAGGCTTTCTCTGAGCGCCCCTTATCCAGCTAAAGGCAACAAAAATTCAGGAAACTACCAATCCAATGCTTGGACTTTACTTTTCTCTCACTTTATAAATCTTAAATGTTACAGAGCGAAATATTTTTTCAGCTTCTCAGTCTGCACGTTATACAAATACCAACCTGTCACGAATCGTTGTTTCCTACTAAAATCATTGGGCCTGTTCTTAGAAATAAATCAACCTCTATCTCCCCATGATGCAAGTTTAATATAAATAGTACCTAAAGAAGAATAATATCTCATAATATCACCGTAGTCCAGAAAAGAGTCTGGCATATAATAGATTCAAAGAAATATGTATGAATACATGAAAACGGAAGAAGCTTAAATTTTGTAATATGCTATAGAAATGTATGAATTCATGTATGAATACATGAAAACGGAAGAAGCTTAAATTTTGTAATATGCTATAGAAATGTATAAACTCACAAGAGGAAAACAAGAAATCCTGAACAACATTTAATAAGCAGTCTTGACTTCTGAACTTTAGGTGTTTTAAATGCTGTGTTGTATGGAACTTTGCAGGGCTGTCTCTTTTGTGAACATCACTTTTCCATTAGCCTATTCGTGACCAGGCGAGAGGGTATTCTGTTACCTCTCTTATGCCTTTCCTGTTGGATTCTTAATACCCCAATCCTTTTATTACTAAATCCTTTTGGTGATTGTTTTGGTGGATTTTGTTACCGTGGTGCCAAAGGATAAAATTAATTTGGAATAATAAGTTCTAAAATGCAACAAAATAGTATATCTGAGGGATATTTTTATAAGCCACCAAAGTCAAAGTACATGTTTCCGGTAGTGAGATACTTGAGGATGTGTTTATTTTTAGTGGCCCCAAGAGTGGCCTGCCCCATGTAACTCTTTTGCTTTAGTCCAAGTATCCAGAGTTTGGTGCCTCTGGCAAGCAGCCAAAGAGGAAGGCTCTGGAGAGGAGACATCAACAGAGGGTGAATCTGTTCCTGCCAAACTGACTAGGAGTGGACCTATTGCCTTAACTTTCATTTCCCAAATCTAATACTATAGATTGAAAGTTTTTTGCTAGTGTTTCTTTTTAAAATTGAGATATAATCGGCATATAACTGTCAGTTTCAGTGTGTAACGTAATGATTCGACCTTTTTATGTATTGCAAAATGATCATAATAAGTCTAGTTAACATTCATCACAGCACATAGTTACAAATGTTTTTTTCTGTGATGAGAACTTCGAAGATCTTAGCAACTTTCAAACATACAATAAGGTATTATGGTCTTATTAACTGTAGTTACCATGCTGTACATTATCTCCCCAGGGCTAGTTTTTAAATTTTTTATTCTTATTTTTAGAAATACTATTTATTCATACTTAAAAGAGGAAAAAGTGCATTAAGCATAATTTCTGTGCCTTTCTTTCATATTAATTATATCTTTCTGCTATGACTGACTCACTAACAATTGATTTCCAATGATGCTCTTAACCCTATTACCTTCCAGTGTTTTTTGAAACCTTGTTACCCGGTTATATCTAATCTGTTCTGCCTTCAGCTTCTTGTATCCCATTATCTGTTTATCCATAGCCTAAAAATATGCTCTTCTATTCTATCGGAAAAATAAAATTAGAATGAACCCTCCTATTCTCCCCACTCTTCTAGCTCTCCCGCCCGTTAACTTACAATTTTTTTGATAGGACACAACAAAAAAAAAAAAGCCTGTTTAAACACATCGACCCAGGCAGCACGAGCCTGTAGAAACCATCTCCTTTGACTGTGGAACGCTTCTAGGCACTGCCTTTCCTGTTAGACCGTTTCTCCAACGTCACCCTAGACGCTGTGGAGGATTTGGCTTCTAAGGTCATCTTATGTCCTTTCGTCATCGGGATGGCGTTAATTAACGGCCGATGCGAGTTGATGGATGCCCCTCCACTGGAGGTTCTCCAGTCCGAACTCCCAGCAGTGGTGGTTGGGAGGCGACCTCAGGCTTTTGCCAGGAGCCCCAGTCTACACTCCGCGTTGGGCCACCGCAGGAGCGTGGGTCCTGCCGGCACTCCCGCTTCTGTCCTACACCATGGCTCAGGCAGTCTTCCTGGTTCCCATGTGGCTCGAATTGGCGGACCTACGTGTTTTACCTACGAGGGAGGGGACACAGTCTCCAGTGGGATGCAACCTTCATCCCCACAACATAATCCAGTAAAAGAGGCACAGCCACTTCACAGAGAGCTGTTCAAACATACCACCCCTACTTTACTGTGATTCCATCGACCTTTACATGCCTAACCGTAGCCCCTAGTGGGACTTCATCCACACGTCTTGGATTTTGGAAGGAAGACCTGATACAATAGCACCTTGTCTTCCGCTTTTAAATGTTTTGCAGTTCCTTACATAAACATAGAACTAATGAATCTAAATAACTAAGAAGACCATGCAGGATTTTGAGTCACTTCTTTTTGCTGTCTCCTAAGCGAAAAGAAAATAGAGCCTGCCTGTTGGTTCATTGAACAATTGACATATTTCCCCTGATGGTTATGTTCTTACGGGGGATGAGAGAGATGGAATTATAGGCTGGAAAAACTGAAGAATGAGAAATGTTTGGATGTGTTGATGAAAGTAGTTTCTTTTAGGCCATTTCTTCTTTTTGGGAAAATTGGCATATAGCTGCATTTACTCATGTGATTCCCCCTGGGTAATTGTGGAAAATCTTAACAGATTCTAGATGATGAAGTCAATGAGCAGTATTTAAAACCAGAGGGCGGCGGGAGAGCACCTTTCGACCTCTTCAGCTTCTTATGGAAGTTGGAGGGAAGAAAGAAACCCTAGAGATCTCGTTATGAGAGTCACAGGGAAGAGCTGCTGATTGCCCTGGTGCTGGTCTCTGTGCCCACAGGGGTCTGGCTCTTAGGAGAGTACAATGATTAAGATGTCCCCACCCCTCCCCCAGCTATTAAAAAGTTTCAAGAATTTAATTACAATTCACAAAATGGAGCAATCTCTAGGGTTATCTGCCTTAGAGGAGAAACACTTGATTAAGCACTGGCCGCAATGGGAGTAAACATTGTCAGCACCTGCCACTGCCGGATGCACCCGGCTTGACGGTGGCCTCTCAGAGCCGCTCAGCAGCGCCAGGGCGTCACCCAGCAGTGTCTCCCGCACCTCAAGCCTCAGCTTTCCTAACATGACCCACACTTGGGGATGGCGTTTTGTCCAGCAGGGACTTAGTGGGAGTGTCTAGGAGAGCTGTCCTCCATCAGTGACACTGTCCTCCATCAGTGACACTGCATTGTTGATTCCGTTGTATTGTCACAGCTCATTATGTTCCTCTCCATGACGCTTCTACCTCCCATTAGGTATTGTGTTCGCTGCTGTATTCAGCACATAGTTATCCAGTAAGTATTTGTCAATTATATCAGTTGATTTATAAAAGATAGTGAAAATACCACAGTGAAGACTTGTTATCTTTTACAATGAATATTTGGGGAAATATTTTGCAGAGAGCTGTAAGCCCTGTTAACATTTTAAACTTTACAAAAATTGCGACGGAGGCTTTGGGGCAGGAGGGAGCCACTGCTGTGGTGGAGGCTGGAGTATGCCATCGACAGACTTGCGTGTCTGTGGGAGCATTCTCGCCGGCATGTGGGAATAAATTCGAGGGAGACGAGGCTACAGACCAACAGAGAAATTAGGGAATTGCTGTAGTAACATAGATGAGCAATGGAAGTAAAAACAAATTCAAGAAATACTGAGATATTGAGGAGGATAAACTCACAGGAATATTTATTGCATGAAAACAATAAGAAAAAGGACCGACTCGTGGGTGATGCTTGAACTTCTGCTTTGAACTTCTTCGTGACCTCAGTTTCAAACATCTCTCTCTCAGTTTCCGCTGACTTCCTTGAACCCTCGACCTCTCCCGCCCGCTGACTTTACCGGTTTCTTAGTTGCCTCATTTCTATCCTTCTGTTTCCTCCTCACCCAGAGTTTGTGGTGTCACAGCTTTGGTTAAGTTCAGCTCTGTACCAGTGCGGTGTCTCTCCTAATGTAGTTTAAAAAGACTTCCTTAGTCCCTTTACTAAGGTGGCCACTCATTCCTTCTGGAGCATTTTAAGCAAGAAGGCATGTTAGCCTTTTGTCATCGATAAAGTATTAAGTGTTGAATACGAGCACGAAATTCTTCCTTTTCCGTAAAGCAAATATTTCACGGTTGCTTTACATTCTTTCTTCTTCATTCTCTATTGCTTCAGAAAGTCAAACGTAAATACCATTTAACCCAATTAAATAAACGATTCAAAATATGCAGGACCCATGTTATTGATCCGTGTTACAGTGTTGGAGGCACCGAGAGCGAGATAATTGAACGACTTATATTGCCTCTCACTCCGGCATTTGGCACTATGAAAGGACATTTAAACTTTCTAGAAAAAATAAGTACTTTTCTTCACGACTTCTAAGTGCATTATTTTCGCATATATTGAGGACCTACTAAGTACAAATCGCTGTGATAGAAGCCGGCAGAGGTACAGAATGCCTGGTGTCTACGTTCATGGCTGGTATTTTGCAAGCACAGGCCACCGATCCAGGGCTGGCGCTCTAGTGCTGCATGCTTGACTGAGAGGGACTTGAGAGGGACACAAGGGACTGTCAACTAGGAAAGCCACATTTTCTCGACCTCTCTAACGCACCGAATTCCCCACTTCATTGAGTCCCTTCTGTCTGCAACGTCAGAATGTCCCTTTACTTCCCTGGTCCAACGACATGTGTAGAAGATCGGTCAGAAGACGATGCCGAACTTGGTCGCTCTTTACGACGCTTCTGCATCCCCCTTCCCAAGCGCCTTCTTCAAGGCCTCCTTCACATCTCTGTTTCTCAGCGTGTAGATCAGGGGGTTGACACTGGGGGTGACGATCGTGTAGAAGAGCGTAAGGAACTTGCCCTGGTCCTGGGAGTACGTGTTTGCTGGCTGGAGGTACATGTATATGATCGTACCGTAGAAGAGCGACACAACGGTTAGGTGGGAGCTGCAGGTGTTGAGCGCCTTCTTCCGCCCAGCGGCGGACTTGATCCTGAACACGGCCCGCGCTATGTGACCATAGGAGATGAGGATGAGAATGAACGGTGCCAGAATGATAAAAATCGCCAGAGCAAACGCCAGTGCCTCGAGGGGCATGGTGTCCACGCAGGCCATGCCGATCAGTGCCGGCATCTCACAGAGAAAGTGGTCCACCCGCCTGTGCCCACAGCGGGGCAGCATCAACGTCTGGGGGGCCATTATGAGGGAATTGCCAAAGCCGCTCAGCCATGCCACTGAAGCCAGCTGACCACAGAGGCGCGGGTGCATGATGACGGTGTAGTGCAGGGGTTTGCAGACTGCGGCGTAGCGGTCATAAGCCATGACAGCCAGGAGGACACACTCCACCCCGCCCAGGGCCAGGACAAAGTAGAGCTGGATGGCACAGCCCAGGTAGCTGATGGTCTTGTCTGGGCCCCACAGGTTGTAGAGCATCTGGGGGATGGAGCCCGTGGTGAAGCACATGTCCAGGAACGAGAGGTTGGCCAAGAAGAAGTACATCGGCGTGTGCAGCCGGGGGTCCAGAGCCGACAGCGAGATGATGGCCGTGTTGCCGAGGAGTGTCAGCAGATAAAAAGTGAGGACAACCACAAAGAGGACCAGCTCCAGGTGGGGCCGGTCAGAGAAGCCCACCAGGATGAAGCCTTCAGAAGAACTGATGTTGTACCTTTCCATCACCGGTGACCACCCAGCACCTGTGAAGAGAGGGTGAGCATCCGTGAAGGGTACAGACACGCTCCCTCAAAGCAGAATGGCTGATAAGGTGGTAGAACGGGAACGCGAACGGCCTGGGGGGCGCCGCACTGGGCGGATGGCCTGGGGGACACCCGTGCTCGGCGGGTTTCGGTGTGAGGAGTGCAGCGCCGGGAGCTGCTCAGGCTCCTGGCTGTGACCATTCACCAGCCTTCTGCATCGTTCTTTTCAGATTGGCAGGATGGAAAAGGCTGCTTGTATTACAAGAAACGAACACTCAAAATTATCTTTTTTTTTTTTTTTTAAATGAGGAAGCACCAAATTCTCTGATAATATATGTGACCCTTGGATGGGGAGCAGCTTGTGTCTCTGGATCATAGAGCCCAGCTTGCCGATAGCTGAAATCTCATTCTAAATGTTGTCTCGTCAAGACTGGGAACCCGGAGTCACATGCAAACTCAACAGGAAAAAGATGATCTTGTCACTGTTTATAGTTACACCTTGGACCCCATCCATTCTCTTTACTGGAGCACGACCCTAGCATACCTCCTGCTCGGCCCTGTCCTAACCCTCTGATGAAATGGTGTTTTATATCAACGTGGCATATTTTAACTCTGGGGTTAGGTGACCTTTCTGATGTCGGGAACACTTTCCTGTAAAGATAGAAAAGATAGAATAAAATAATTCCCAGAACTCGGTCCCCATGGAACTATATTCGATGTTCTTTTACTATTCTGTCCTCTCCTCTTATTCGCATTTTATCCTCACGAAGAACTCCGCTTCCAGGAAGTCTGCATTGATTATTTTATTTATGTGTTTCTTGTGATCCCATAGGAATGAAAGGTTTTGTATTTTCTGTGATACTTTACACTTTCAATTATTGGGTAGTGTTTTTATGTCTTGGGTGAGTATACTATATAATGTAGGTTAACCAAGGGCAAAGTTTCATTCTAATATTTTTGCAAATTTTCCTAAGCAGTTAGTAAAAAGTAGTAGGGTGTGACTCTCTTTAAAGGGGATGTATCGCGTCTCCCATGTGACTGGGACAAAAAATAGGGTTCACATGCTCTGAGAATGCTTTGCCATGACTAAGTCGTGTTGTGGCCTGTGTTCTCAACGAAAGCTCTAAGATTTTGTACCTTAAAACAGACATTTGCTGAAAATTACAGGGTTATAAAAGTCATCACTTCGGAGGCTGCAACAGCTTCTGCAGAGGGATGAATAGATGTGATAAAGTCTGGGGGATGGACAATCCACCGACTGGATAACTGAGGACCGACACAGTCAGGCCAGCGTGGAGGGCTTTCCCTCCGCCCTTCTAAAATGGAAACTAAAATACCTACAATTAAGAAAAAACACATATGTATACATAAGTAAACTGGGAGGGTAGACGCCAAATGGATGATAGCGAATGTCTCTGGAAAGGAAATTGGATCAAAGATTGGGACTTTCTCTATATCTATGGTGTTTTTTATTTCTTTAAAAATAGCTGGAAGGAAGTATGGCCCTAAGGAATAGCTATTAATTCTGAATAGGGATATTTTTTCTGTTCGTCTTTGTAAATTTCCACATGTTTAAAATATCTCGGATTATAAAAGAAAAATAACAATATGAATTACAAATCATTTAAATATTAATGTAATGACTGTTTGTGGACCTCAGGAACTAGGCACTAATATTAACCATTTGACATAATTTACCTCATTTCACTCTCTAAGCAGCTCCAGGAAGTCAGCAATTTCATCGTCATCATAACAAATTAAGCCACCGAGGCCAAGAGAGGGACAAAATAAGCTGGCTGGGTCGCACAGTCGGCACACGGAGCCCTGCGGTCACTCAGATCGCTTCGGCGACCTCACTGCAACGGCAGGAAGTGGGCGGCAGAAAAATCACCGCAGAGCTGCGTGTGAAGGATCCACACGAGCTGTAAAACTGAGCCTGCAACTCATCTCTTTTGATTCATTGCACAAAGTTTAATGTAAAGTTTTAGTGCTTATGAGCTGAGTAAGGCAGGTACCGGTCATGGCATCACAGGTGAAGATACAGACAAACGAGTCACGCTTTTTATTCAGAAAATGAGAAATTCAGTTAAAATTTGCCCGCCTGGATGTGTTAATGTGTATACACTGGGCATAGAAACGGTCAGAATGAGCTCAGGTCTGGTGTCACTGGCCCCATGGGAAGTGAAGGCAGGCAGCTGTGATTGACAGTGACTGTCTCTCCCCGTGGTGGACATGCAGAGAAGTTTCCCTACGTCTGTGAAAATTTATGCTTGCACGTGTGGATATGAATGTTTATCCACTGTAGAGCACAAACCCGAGTTGTTTTTGTCTGTTTCTCAAATCAACCAAAGGACCCACAGAGCATGAGATTATTCAACTAGGATTATTCTCATGAATTTTTCATTTTGATTGAAAAGTTTTTTGGTGGCTGTCTTCTTGTATTATCACATCGAAATTCAATCGCTACTCTTCCAAGTCTTCCCTTTGTGAGGACTGAATTCTTACATCTCTGAACTTTAAATAACCAACGGTAATTCTTTTAAGCGATCCATGAGTGTGTCTATCCTTCTTTGAGCCTCATAGGATGGCTTCTAAACACAGGGACATCTTAGTTTTCTCACAGGAGCCATATACATTAATTCTTGGATTGTATGATTCAATCGATCACTTATTGCATTTAAGTAAGTTTCCATTGTTTGGAAAATGAGACCGATGTGTATCATCTGTGACTTCTGGATCCTTGAGCAGGTAATTTCAAATTTACGAGGTTTTAAAAAACTGAATCTAATAAAGCCCCAGTATCAACTATTATCTGAAATCTTCTACGAAGAGCCAGAATGGGGATTTACTGAGTAGGGTGTTTGGAGGGATGAATTGTCAAGTTCCAGGGCTAAGGAAAGTACTGGCATCTCCCCGCCAAACGAGCTGCTGGTCTGCGCCAAGCGGGGTGCAAGGTGACGCAAGCCTGAGGGACCCAGAATGCTCCCGGCTGGAGGTCCAAGTCCCGGGGTTAGCACTCAGCAGCAGTCACCGAGAGCTCGTCATTCAATACTCTCTCATGCGACACAGACCCACAATTAGTGTTTCTATTCTTAAGGTTTTCCAGTTCAGTAGATTAAACTACTTTTTAAATTTATGTTTTTGGTAAGAACTCCATTAGTGAGTTCAAAATCTCTCTCCAGCTTCTTCATGAATGAGGATATTAAACCACCATCTTTCAGTTGGGTCAATCCTATGTAAATAAAGTGCATAGACACTTAGGCTGTGAGGTATTGGCATAATATGTCCAGCTGTCCATGATTCAGCTATAGTCTATGCTTCAAAAAACAAAAAGAAACCCCCAAATCAGACGTTTGCATAGAGGCCTAGGTCACATTTCTTCCTACACAGGACCATTAACTTACCAAACTTGACCGTAACCTCAGAAATGCCATGTCCACTGCACGTCCTCTTTCTTGCGACTTCACTTGAGAGTTCAACTGGGATGACCAGAGTGAAAATGGGAGAAAAAGATGATGTTTAGGAAGTCTGTGAGAGAGAGAAGGAGATAAAGAGGCAAGGGGACCCGGCAGCTGACTCTGGGTGGGT